TCTCTCTCTCTCTCTCTCTCTCTCTCTCTCTCTCTCTCTCTCTCTCTCTTTCTCACCAGCAGTACCTAGTCTTCCGCGAGCAGAGGGAGAGAGAGGGAGAGAGACCGTTCTCTCTCTCTCTCTCTTTCGGTTTGCCGTTCGGCGTCCTCCACCCTGTGCTCTCCTCTCGTTTACCCTCGTCCTTTTCTCTCTCTTTCACCCCGACATCGTCTACCTCTATCCGCGACATCCTCTCCGTCCTCGTCTTCCGTGTGAGAGCTTTCCGTTTCCTCGCTTCTCGTTAGCCGTCACCCCGCGTTTCTCTCTTTTGCGCCACGACCCCCGTAGTGGCCCACCCAACCCCAACCCCGCCGAAATCGCGCACCCCCCCAGACCGTAGTCCATCTCGCTTCGCGACGTCCCGTCGCCCTGAATTCTTCTCTCTTCCACTCGCCGAGACACCCGCGCGTACCTCTCCCGCGTACTATACCGTCGTACTCTACCGTGGAGGTGGTAGGTCGTGGAGGTGGGAGCCTGCGCACGTGCGAGCACCCCTCGCCGGGCCTCCCGCTCGATATCGGAGAGTCGACTCTACAACTCCACGTTACGAATGTACATATAACGGGTGTCACCCGGATTCCAGCCGTCGTGCGACGTCCAGCGTACGCGCGCCTGTCTCCGCCAGTCGGCATCGACTACTCCTTCCCTTCAAGGAGCACGTTGCGGAGAAGAGACACGTCCCAGTGCCCGGGTGAGGACGCCGGCTATCCAGACAGGCGGACAGACCGGCAGACGGAGATGACTCGTTTGTCAGGTCAAACGGCGACTACGACAACGACGATACCAGACGAATCTATCTCTCACCAGACTCGAAAATCAGAATTGGTCGACGCGATATTTCCGGCGCGCGCCTGCCCTTTCACTCCAAAAGTCAGCCGGGGGCTTAAATAGCGAAATACCGGCGGAACCTATCGGCTGCGTTCGAGGACCTTGGGACAGTCTCGTTTGCCCTCGAAATAACTGCTCGAAATAATCGATGGCGCGCCATCGGCTGCTCTCGCTGCCTCTCGTCTCTTTCAGATTTATCTTCCGCGTCACCTTTTTTTCCACTGCGTCCGCTTAAAAGCTACTTGCCGTGTACTTTTGTCAGCGGGAGCATCAGACAGCTGGAATTTATCGAGAGATTTCTCCTATACTCTAATAACATCGGATACATGTCGTTCATGTTCTCTCCCTCGTGCATTCACTTCCGAGACATATATTGTCTCACCCTGGAAAACTCCATTTCCGGTGATTTCTTTGAAATGCTATTTCCAAGATGTTATGTAATGCCGCGCTGTTCCCGTTCAAGGTTAATCCATGGATAGAATTTATCTTCGCGGTTCATGAGCGCGATTTAGACGCGGTGAGTTTTGAGAGTAAGTACCGCCGATTGCAGCGGTTGGCCGATGATAGTGCCGACTTCAGGAGTACTTCGCCGATGATCAGTGAGTTTCATCACTGACCTTCATCTGTCTTATTTGATTGATTTTGACCAGTGCAAGTAAGGTTTCGCTCAATTCCGCAAAATACGCAATTACACAAAATCTGTAGTACACAAATTCGCAAAATACGCAATTACACAAAATCTGTAGTACACAAATTCGTTGTATACTGTATGAAATCCAACTTTCTGCGTTTGTGCTGATGGAATTAACGGGTCTCATGCAATTTGCGTGCGATGGTACTGTTTGCCTTTGCGAACCGCCTCTCAATAATGACGACCATCAATAGTCACTACTATTAACTGATTTTTAGCGAGATTTTACTGATTGCAGTGCTACTGAATCCTCGATTATAAGTATAAGCATTTCACAGAATAATACACTGATTGTACTTTAGAGAGAACGATTTCTTCGCCGGCACTTGACACATTGCAACACGTTAACTTGGTGGCTCGACTCGCGAATTAATTACCTTTGGCGCGGTTTTAGTTCAGAGTAGCTTCCCCAAGAAATCTTCAGAAACCATTGTCATGGAACATCAAGTCACACTCGCGTCACTTGTGTCTGACCAACGCCGGTGTGTGCGTGAACGTATTAATCAACACCACTAAGTATGTAGTAACTCTTTAAGCTCTTGAATGATCTTTAAGTACCAACAAACGACCGTTCCTCGCCTCCATCTAACCAACAATAAGTACTCGGATTACATTTTCCACTATTATTCCGCACAGTTTCCTTTAAGCTGTCGTAGCCACTTCCTAGCCGCCGAGTATCCTGCTTATTCTCAGTTTCTAGTCTAGAAAATATTCTCAAATAGGAACACTCCACAACACGCAACGTTTTCCCCAAAACTACGCAAACAAAGATCGCATAAACCTTGCGGATCCCATTCGCCTTCTCCTGTAAACCAATATAACCTAACAACAACACGATACAATCACAGCGAGCCACGGATATTGAAGGCGGATAAATCTCTATTATTCCTTTATCGTCTTTTCGCATTGACCGAAGAACGACTGGCCGATAAAGGCTTGTGAGTGGACTTCACGAGCTGTGTGCGAGCG